ATTCGAGGAGACTCGATCCCGTCAGTCTCGTAATCAGTTTCCATTATCAAGAGACAGAGATCCGTTAAACATGTAAAACGTGTGATTTAATTAAAGAGGCAATTCGAAGATTAATTTTAATTTCACGAAAGGGGCCCGGAATGTCCCGAGTAACGCGATAGCTTTTTGCATAATATTTCCTGTCTAACGCAATTATCGTAAAGTGGGCGTAGAACTTTGCGAAACTCAACTTTTCTGGGTTAATCTTTCATAATCACAAGTTTCATTACCTCCTTTCATTATGGTAAGTGCAGGGAAAATTACGGACACGCGTGTGTTGGCGAAAATTAATTAGTCGTAATAAAGGCCGGCAGAAGACTGTAGGCATAATCAATTTGTGCGTCGCGTATCCCAACAAATTCGACTATTTATTCCGACGGCAACACACGTGCGACACGTACGTGTCGGAATACAGACCGAACGAAAATGATCGCCGCTATTTACCGTGGAAATACATTACTCGTCGATAAACAGCGATACCGTCAATCTCCGCGTTCATCTGCCAGTATTGCGAAATGTTAATGGCAATATCGCCGATACGATAATTCGTGATAAATGCACGTTGACAAAGGACGACGGTAAGCCGACTGCGATGAATGGGCAACGAGTCGAGAATGAATCGATTAATGGCGATAGTGAGAGCCGCACTTCTACCGTCAGATCGACGAAGATGAAACCGGTCCGTCATCAAGTTATTCACCCCAATCCCACCCCGGGATTTAGTCCGGTCATATCCCGCAAAACTCCTCTGACGAAAAGTCGATATAGCAGACAATGATCCGCGGCCACCCGGGTATCTTTAAAGTTCCGCAGGAATCACAAAGTTTCCAAGATCGAATGATCTTTTATTTAGAAAAAAAAGGAGAAAAGTTCGGGGTAGAAGTTGCACGATCGAAAGATCCCGCAAATTATTGATTAACAAAAAATGTTGTGACTCTACGGGGTTCCTCTATGCTCGACTATGGCGTAACTACTTCCAGCAGCGCGTTTTAAGATTTAAGTATAATATTCATATTATATTTAAGCCGTGCGAGCTTATACGCAGTACTTTACACGGAACTTATCGCACAACGAACTTTTTAAGTACGCGGACAAAAAAGGAGAGGAAGGGAAAGAGTGGAAAAATACGGCAGATTTATCGCGATTCAGTTCCTTGGTACTTTAACGCTGTACGCGAGACTTCCGCGGGAGATCGCGCAAAAACATGGGCCATGTGTTAATGAAATATTCCACGGCGGGGACGAGCGGCGAATTTCCGCGAAAGCTTTCTAACGTGCGAATAAAGCGCGCAATAAAGAAGTCAGCTTTCCGATATTTATTCACGAGCGTAGAAATAGGTCGAGCGGCTTCGGGACGATAGAAATTTCGCGACGACTCATCTCTGTATCGTGTGTGTATGTCTGGAGGCGATAAAACTTTCTTCTAAATATTAGAATAATATTGTTACGTAAACTTCGTGTCGCGCAGGGAATGCGCCAGCTGTGAAATAATATCCCAGAGACGAGAAACGAACGTAAAACGTTTATAAACCTTGTTACCTCTGCCACGGGGCGCGGAAAATGTATAAAGTCGAGGCAGTTAATCACTTCTCTCTCGCCTTAATCCTCATGGCTGGTAACATCTGCCTGCGAGGGAGATTCGTGTACATGCATAATTATCATTTCACTCTAACTGTAAGTCACATTATCACAGGCAATAAAATTAACCGCAGAATTCGCAGAATTGTCTAGCAATTCCAATTGCTGCGAGAATTTTAAAACAATTTCATTTTCATCGGTTTTCACCTCTTTATAATTCATTGGAATAATCTATTAGGCTATCCGTTCCGCAGGTAATTGTAAGTGCGACGTGGCTATGTAAGTTGAAAATAATGAATGACCGTACTATCGTAATTCACCCGTACGAGCCGTTTGATACATAATCGATACGTATAACGCATGCCGCCGATTAGTCAGAATAACAAATGATCTTCGATAATATACTCGTGTGTTACAATGGAACGAACAATTGTTACGGTTTATACGACATAATCACACCTCGAGTTTAATATGCAGTTCCGTGCAAAAAAAGTGCGCGCGAGCACGTCATTAAATATGAACGTTGTTAAAACTTTTACAATTAAGTGCAAATTGTGATCTCATTAACTCCGGAGATCTTTGATTTGCCAAAAGTTTACAAATTATCGTTGCGTCATCTTTGATATTTTTAACAAGTTTCTCGTTTCTTCCCGCCTAAAATATTCCATCGAAGAAACTGCAATCTTATTCTGAGATATCTATTAAAGTAGCTACGGGAAATAAAAACTTATTAAAATGTACATTAAATGCATAACAAAAAATGTACAAATAAAAGTATTTAATCTTTCTCTAGATGAAATTGGTATTCCATGCGCGTCACGCATCGAGAGTAATCCTACGATTAAATGTACGCTTCTTTTTTCACAGCATTTCATAACTAGCGGTGATTCGGTATGCATATTTAAGGACGGCAAAATCTGATACGATATCGCGAAATTTCATTCCGGTATAAGGTGTCCCTCGACCTGAAATCACGCAATAACATTTCCATATTCGCGACATTAGCACCGAAACGCGGTTTTCGCGAAAACACGAATTTAATTGTGCTTTACATTATTAAAACCGTTAAACGTACCGAGTCCACCCGCGATAAATTTTCATATTATATATACGCAATGCCGCAAAATTCCGGAATATAACTAATTTTACAAAAAGAAATGCAAATTAAAATCCTTCAAATTCAACTTTTGACGAGTGATATATTTAATTAAAAAAAACGCGATTAAATAATTAGTGATATTTAAAGTAAAAATAATAACAAACGTAAATAATATACGTAATATTCCTGGAGAATCTTTCCCGGCCGCTTGTGCTTTTAATTTGTCGAAGCTCCCGAATCTTTGGATATGCTTATGTTTATTTCATAACACGGCGTAGAAAGCGCGTTCTCGGAGTCGCACGCTTGCGGCAACCGCGACAAAGACAATGTATTATTAACCAGAAGATCTTGGAGATGCGCTAAGCCAACGTTATTCCCGCAGCTTTATTAGGATTCTCAAAGAGACTCGGTAAGCCTGGAGGCTGAACTTTTAAGGTATTCCGCGAGAGAGAGAGAGAGTATGCGAGCGGTATGCGCGTGTACGATTCCCCGTTAAGATAATTCGAATCCCCATTTCACCCTGGGAAAACGAAGGATAATTAAGAGCCCGCGGTGCTCGCCGATCTTCGATTCGGCGTTAATTAAACGTTCAGTTTCCACGAGCGATTGCCGCGGTCAAACGTGCAAGCGTTCGCGTAGATTAAATACATGTGGTCCGTAATCACTGTTTTATAAATGTCTATGCCTTGCAGTAACGAAAAATTATTATGCAGCAATCGCGTGCATTTTATCGTAAATATCGCTCATTGTATCACTCGCTCGTTATTTCACGATCGGAAATTAACGCGCCTCTTTTCAACAGTTTTACGAGATCGCGAATTAAATTTCCTCGTTATCCTACGCTTCTCCCATCATCGCTACGGCATTCGAAGATTGACAAATTTTCAAAGATATTTCATTAACAAAGGTGTAGAAATTATTCGACGTAACTGGCCGAAACTTGGGCTAAAATATTTCTGCAGTCAAAACATGACGTTTCGACCGTGAATTCAGGTCTTTCTCAAGTGTAGGGCAATCACATAACCATTCTACACTGTAAAAAAAGTATGTAAAATTACATACTTAATAAGTGTAGCGATTACACTATTAATAACGGAAATATATCTAAATGTACTTTTACAAAAAAATTTTTTTACTCTTTGTTGCGTAAATATTTGTTCATACATGACGAAAAATTACACAAAATGGAAAAATTTACACAATTAAAAGCAGTTTATTTATTGCAGAAGGTAATAATTTTACCTGCAAGGTGTAAATTTACTGACGTGTGTAAATGTACTCTTTTAATAGATAGTCCCAATATTATCCACTATATAATAATTGTAATTTTACATGTAATTTCTTTACAGTGTAGTGCCGGACACTGTGCCAGCAATCGATCTGAATCTAAAGAATCTTACGTTCGTCAAATTAACTATATGATAAATAGTTGATTTATCTAATCAACGATATGATAAATAGTTGATTTGACTAATCAACGCTCATGTTAACACACGCGAATATTTTGTCTATAAAACCGTGTCTCTCCCGGAAAAGGAGGTACATCTAGACAGCTCTACGGTACGTTACAGATATCTTATCACGCTTCGCTCCCGTCGCGCTTTTACTGGATGAACTTCGTAAGCACCTTAAACACACGTATCCGCGAACGTCTGGTTCAGAAGTACCCTTAACTATCAACGACCGTCCCGTGGACGTCCAACTATGCAAACTCCTTGATTTATGTCCGCCGGGATTAATTACATGCGCGAACTTGAAGTACACATCATAAATACGAATGCATGCGAGCAATAAATCACTCTATTATCAACAATCTCGCAGGACGAGTCCTATCCATTATTTTATCCGTCATTCGTTGCAGAAATTATTTGAAACGTCACAAGAAATGTCGCATAAACTTTAATTCATACCTGAGATAATAATTTTATATTCCCGGAGCGAATATTGTATAATGACGCTTAAATGAACAGCAAAGAAAAAACGCGGTAGACATTTCGAAGTAATCTCATTCGTCACTTAAAACTCGTCCGGGGCAAGGGTTAATTTCGAAATTGAAAAACGCCCGGCCCCCCCCCCCCCGCCGTCCGCGTCAGCGGCTTGATTCGATTAACAATTCGCTCAGAAATAATTTCATGCCACGTTACACATCTTCATTAAGTCTGAATCTGGCCTCGGGATTTCACGTGATTTTCTACTGCCGGACGCGCTCGTCGGGCGACGATATTTCGCGTGATATCCCTGACATACCAGCGAACTTCTCTCCCGTGACACGTCGAATTCCGCAGGATAATCACCTCTCCGTATCATTCTTCGCAATTTTTATCCTGTCCCGCTGCTCTGTACAACGGCGGTTAATTAGTGGCGGTGTCAGCGTAAAAAAGACAAATTGTTGCCAACAGATCACGGTGCGTGGTAACCACCAAAAATTGACGGCGAGTTATGATATTATATATATTTTTTTTTCTTGGAAGATCTTGAATTTGTAATAATCAAGCTTTTTAGTTGACATTAACCGGCCAGTGTTTTAGTACAGAAAATTCATTGCGAAAAATATTAACCTCAGCCAGGGTTTTAACCTGGACTTCCCTACACTGAAAAAAATTTCTGGTTGAATATGAACGAATCAGATAATTCCTTTAGGATTTACCAGAATTCCTGTAATCCTACAGAAATTCTGGTAAATCCTAAAGGAATTCTGGTAAATCCTAAAGGAATTATCTCATTCGTCCATATTCAACCAGAAATTTTTTTCAGTGTACTCTCTATCCAGGCATGATGCCTCAGTGATCGAATTGGTGAGTCGCCCGCCTAGAGAGTACAGTTGAGAAAAATGCTTCGATTGCATCAACAAGACATGTGTGATAGAATGTATTTTGGTTAAACCAAACAGAATTTCTGGTTGGCACGATAGGGCTCGATATTTCATAACCAGAAGTTTGCTAGACTTCACTACACATCTGGTAAATCCTAAAGGAATTCTGATTCGTCCATTTTCTAACAGACGACTGGTTGAATCCACCAGATTTGTCTTTTCAGCGTAGGGAAGTCTAGGTTGAAACCCTGGCTGAGGTAATATTGTTCGCAATAAATTTTCTGTATTAAAACACGTTAATGTCGACTAAAAAGCTTGATTATTGTTATTGATTACTGGCAACTTGAAGAGATTTCTATATCTTGAATTTATATCCGTATATATGACAGAGAAAAGTTATAAAAATATGAAGTGCGTGTCAGCTAGAGATGTGTATCCGACACGGTATCATTTATTACAGCTCTTTATCTATAGATTGAGTACCTTTTGGCATCTTTAGACGATTCGTCACGTCTTCCTGAAAGGAGCGACGCGCGTGTCAGGCAAAAATCGCCGTCGCAGTTTAACGAGACGTGTATCGATGATCGGGAAACGCGATATCCGGCACAGGGATACGCCCTTAAGAGCGCGACAGCGGGTGGCAAGGATGACGTGTTCCTCGCGAGGAGGGACGGCGGATCGAGGAAGAGCGTTTTGCACGCCGTCGAGTTGCCGCCGGCGTGCCAATTAGGCATAAATACCCTCGGTTGAGGGTAAAAGCGGGCCCGGAGAGAGCAAGTCGCTACCTGGAGGTCGCGAGGAAAATCGCCGGGCGAGAAGAAAGCGGGAAGAGCAGTGTGAGAGATGGCCGCCGGTAAGTGCAAGTGAAATGCGAACGAATTAAGCACCCGCCAGCAATGCACAGTGCACGGGATCTGGCTGCAGGAGGAAGCGGGCGATACGCGCCTTCGCGTATTAATAGCGCGGTCCAGCGAGCTCTCGCTCGGAGATTAAACTTCTCTTTCATGGCACTTCTCGCGTCAAAGAGCAACTCGCGCGAGCGGCGCTTTGTGGCAGCGTGATCGATATCCATAAACCAGCAAGCGCTTCAGCGTTCCTCACGCCGCCTGGTTAAATGCCATACTCTGCCTGACTCTTCTTAGAGCCGCACAAGCTTATTAGTCCACACACACACACATCGTAGCAAGCGAATTTCTAATTGCCTCGCGCGGCAATTGCGCCGACGTCTGGCCCGTCAGTTTCCACCGGAGCACGCTCGCACCTTTAGATTACGACTGCTATAGCGCATTAGCACGTGCTTGTTTTTTATTATAGAGTAATGTAACGTGATATTAAATCCTTGTTAATTATTATCGCAAAAGATTGTTATTTTACTATTCCGACAGCTTTCTTCTTCTCCCGAAGGTTCTAATTATTCAGAACAACGACCGCGATGCTGGCAATAATCTGACGCGTTACATCTAGTTACGTCGTAACCATGTTTCTTTTTTTTTTCCTTTCCCAGCCTGTCATCGTCCACTCCTGAATATATAATCTTTTCCACATTTTTCTATATTTCTCTGTCCGATGCTGTTTGCATCCATTTTATTCCTGCAATTCTCACACTTCGCTTTTGTAACCGTATTGATTCTCTTTGAATAATTAATTCCTTTTAACTCAATCCAAGAATTTGATCCTTATTAAATAAATTCTTTTTATTTTACTTCCCTGGTAGAAATGTATGCAGTTTCTCTAGACACCCTTCCAGTTACTTTTTAGTATTACTGCGTTCTCATTAGTTCTAACAATACTGCATAGAAAATGGACAAGAGCTTGATAGAGTTATTTGTCAGTGCTGCAGCAGTTTTCCAGGTAAAAATATATGCGATTTGCTTAGACATTTGCCCAGTTATTGTCTAGTATTAATAGATTATTATTTATTAAAATACTTATTGTTTTGTTCTTGTTTAGTAATTGGATTCAGATTGTGCGCATCTTTGTAAGTGCAGTAACTGCAAGAAAAGCGTTACATCTTGATTCCAAGTAGTTTTACTTTACAAGTAGTTTTACTCAGTTACTAGACGAAAGTTACTACAACTGTCTGGTGACTGCTCAAAAAATGCACGACATTTCTACCAGGGTTCTACAAGCATTATAATAAAAATTATGATAATTTTTAGACAGTCCTCGGAAAGTTCTAATATCATCAAATTTTTTTCGTATCTTCCTCATCAGAAAAAGCTTCTGAAACTTTTGTGGACTATCTTGTTACACGGAATATATTATGTATAACTCTGCTATGTATTATGTAAATGTGAAACACGTACAATTTATTGCTACAAAATTTTCTTTTCGAAAAGGTTATCGGTGTAACTGTCGGGAAATTGTTCACATTGAACATATGATTACGCAAGCCGAGGTTGTCTTCGCAACATGGAAGAGACGCGTGTCAGTTATATCGGGATATATCCCGATGCGAGGAAAATTAATGCGTAACATTGATATTCGAGTAATTCCGCGCAGAAAGTACTGAAAACTCCAAACAAATTATTTAAACTCTGTTCTATTCAAATATACATTGACAAATAATATTCTATATAAAAATATTTTTCAACTATAAAATACGTATCCTTGCTTGCATTTCTTCTACATAGAATATTATTCACACAACATCATACACCTCGAGCGAAGAAGCATACGGTAATAAATGACAGTTTTTAGTGGGAGATAAATGAATCTCTCGCGTAAAAAAAAAACTTAAAATTTTAATGATTCCCTGAATATTGCATTTCCAATTCTTTCAGGGGGAAAGCAACTTAAACATTCAATGCATTCAAGATGCAATAAGCTCGCTCGGTTACATGAGCTCGCCCCTCCGCATGCATCTTTGAGTCGCTAGAGATGCAGTCATCTTTTGCAAGAGGAGTAGCGTAAAAATGTGAGAAAAAAAAGTTGACCTGCCAATTCCGGGCGAACTTTCTTCAATTTCGATTTTCAGTGGAAGTAGCTCGCGCCGCTTTCGTTTTCTCGGCGAATTTCTCGGTGCAACTAGTCGCCGTATTACCATAAATAGCGCACACATTTTGTATAAATGCGGCTTTTTTTTAATTCAGGGCTGGGACACATCAGACCGACAAGACTTTCAAGACATTTTCTCTGACGTCAATTTTAAATATTCCCAAATAAAATTTACAAGGCTCTGACATAAAGTGACAAATATGAAGTAATAAAGGATATAAGAGCCAAGACAGGATGTTAGTGTCTCATAAATTGCGATTTCCTCAGGTCTGAGGAAAATTTTTTTCTCCGGGAGAACCCGGACCCTTTACCTTCTACTTCGTATTTGTTAAATATGCTCTATCATATCTTTTTTTTCAATTATATGAGATTTGTAAAGAATTATTAGTCTCTTCCATATTGTCCGTTCATTAAGTATAGTTACTAACGGAATTTTGATTTGTTTAATTATAAATATCTGACTACAGACTAACGAAATCTCTTGGCTGCACCTCGGCATTAAAAGTGTGATATTTGCGAATTAGAAATTATATTTCATTTAAAGTTAATTTACTTTAGAATTCAAATAAGTTAAAATAACAAAGACATTTATAACGACTTATTCTTCATCATTTATTCCCGCGTACGATTTATTCCATTAATTCTCTGCAATAATATTCGAGAAGATAAATTTAAAATCTAATTCCCTTAAAATTAAATCTTAATATTAAATTCAACTCCTACTGTCGCCATAATAAAAGTTCAATTAATTAAGAATAAATAGCACGTTTATAATTTCCTAACGGACGAAACTGTTTACGAGATGGAATTTGAAGCTAAGATCGCTCCTTCTCGGTAAAGAATTTCGCGCGAGACGTTGCTCCAGCAATAAATTAAACGGCTGTTTGATCTTGATCGAACCCTTCTTAACATATATAGTGACAACCACGAGGCAAAGAGTAGAGGTACTCGTAATCGAATGTCATTTCCATTTGTATGGCATCGTAGGAGATCACCGTGAGATGATCATGACCCATTTTCCGCGTCGTGACATTTAGCGTAGGCATACGAAGCAAACTCGCCTCGCGCAGGATATAGCTTAAACACATTTGACGGGAATGAAAACACATCCTACGCGTGCATCCGCGAACGTGATTGAAATAGACAATTTGCGGTTGTAAACAATTAAGGGCCGGTTGTTCCAGTCTCTCGGTAAGTTAACTAATAGTTAAATCACACATGTGTCGTTTTTCCCTCAAATTAGACAGAGGCACGTAATTTAACTGTTAGTTAGCTTGCCAAGAGGTTGGAAAAACCTAATAGCGATAAATAGTGACGGTATGTTATTTATCCACTTGCAGCGTGTGTGCTCAAAATAAAGCCACGGTGGCAACGGTGGAAGTGGCGCGACAGAAGCTTTCTCGGAACGTGATAGAGAATGTCTCGCCTAACGTCCTGGCGCTCTTGTACTTGTTCCACTCTCAAAGACGGGGACTCGCGACAAATCGGGAATATGCTCGCGCGAAAATCCAATGAAAAATGAAAATCCCATATGCTCGCTTACTTTATCACGGCAAGCATCCGCGAAAATTGTATTTTCCATGCCAGTAAAAGCTCGAGAGTATCACGCGGGATATGAACCACTCCTCTTGCGATACTCCTCCGGGAATATATAATTTCGTTTCGATGTACACATGCGCCGCGAAAGAGAAAAGGGGAGAGCCGGCGAGTCGGCAAAAGAGAGCAAGAGAAAATCCATTTTGCAAATGGATCTATTTTTATCCCAGGGTTCAAACGCACCGCGATGGTATCTTGGTGGCTGGAAATTCGTCTCTTGAAGAGAGCACGAAGGTACGGATTGAGAGAAATCGTCGGTTATTGTTCGAGAATTTTAGTGAAAATTGGCAGGTGGAGACGTTACATCCCAAATTGAAAAATATATGCTCCCGACTCTTGGTGGTTCAAAACGGGCTCCAAAGTGGCGTGAAGCTCCCTTCAAAATAATTTCAAACGTGATATTTTGCTCTTGTTACAAGGGAAAGAAAGAGATTAATATTTCAGATTTGTGAGAAGTACGGCAATTGTCTTTGCCATTTGTGAATACGCTTTCCGAAATATTTGCATTGAAGAATAAGATAAGCTTCGCCCGCCTCGTCCCTCTCTCTCTTTCTCTTTTTCCTTACTTTCCAACTTGGCTTTAAGCAGGTTACATAAATGCATCATAATCACAATCGTAAAATCCCATCCCTCGCGAGATAATTTGACCGTAATGCGGTCGTAAAAGGTTTTCCGACGGCGCAATTAAAACTGGAACGGCGATAAGTTACAGCGCGGCCGTGCATAACTACACGTGACGTTTATTCAGAATTGCAGCGTTGCGGAGGGAATAAAAACGGCATTTTGAATATACGAACGAAAATTTACGAATTAATCGCGATGCAACGCGACACGCTCCAGAAAGCCGTGAAACCGCGCGTCCTCGTCCCATCATCTTCCGCGTTTCCTTCTCCCCCTATTTCCCGCCACCCCCGGCAACGAAAACGAAGGTGGCGTGGCTTTGATCTTGAAATTGCTTTACTGTAGCGTAATTCAATTCCGAGTTTAGGATATGAGGGAAGAGCCGCGTGGTAAATCGGTATCGGCAATTACTTAGCTCCTCATTCGTGCCGGATTTTTTTCATCCTCTTTCTACGCCACACAATCTCATTATTGAACTATCGAGAATTTTAATGACATAGAAAATAATAATGGTGAATTTCCACCAACTTTATTTCTAAACACGAACGAACAATATTCGCTGTTTAAGTCGAGGGGAAAAGAAGAGGAACAATCGTTTTACGAGAAGTTAGCCAACGTAAACATAAGCTGAGGAGAAGA